AAAAGAAATCACCATTCCATTTACAGCCAAGCGAAAGAATACACACATACACACACACACGATATTTTGGGGACTTACATATTTTGTTGTAAAAGGCAAATTATGTTCAAGATAACAATGAGAAGGTATATTTAAGAGTACATCATCTTAGAAATTTACAAATAAGAGGAGGTCAATATATACTCTAACTCTTAAATAGTCCTGCTACCCTTATATCTAGTCAAGAATTTTGCCCTTAATTGTTATAAAATGATAGGCTGTCACAGAAATGCTAGTGTACAATGCAGTTATTACTACAGTCTGATTTCATTTTTTTTTTAAAAAGCAGAAGTCTTCCTATAGAATGTACACATGATGAACAAAACATCAGCATGCTGACACTGTTCTGCTGAAATCTATAGTGAAACTATCACTTGATACTGAGGTAGATCATGGTTAAGAAAACAGGCATTGGTGTCAGATCTGGGTTAAAACTGGAACTATTTACCAGAGTATAGCATAAGTTGTGAATATTAAATGAGCTGATTCATGTAAAGTGCTTGCAAGGGTGCATAGTACATAGTAAGCTCTCAATAAATGCTACTTATTATTCCCACACCTACTCCCTAAACTTCTTTCTTGCTGGTAGAAGCCCAATTTTGTTCAGCTATCTATTTTTCTTGTGCATATGTACTCAGAGTTAGTGATTCCACACCCAGTCCCTTGATTAGTCAAAGTCTATCCATTTGTCACACCAGTGAAGTCAAGCCAGTGACTAACTTAAGAAAGGGCATATGACCCAATTCTGGTCAATACAATATAAGGAAATTCTGCTGTGATTAACAGTAGATGTTTCTTCGTTTTGCAAAAAAGACATCCAAGAAGAAAGTCCTCTTTTCTTCCTCTGGACATCATCATGTACATAGTTCCAAAGGGGTCATTCACTTATCCACTAACCTTGGGCAAAATGCTAAAACCTCTCTATTTCTTCTTCTATGAAACCTGACAAACCCTTGCAGGGTTTTTACAATGGTTAGAAGTAATGCAAATATAGTGAGCTCACTATGTGATGGCTACTTCTCTAATGCCCTGCTTTCATATAGAGAATAAAATGTTTTAAAACAAAGTAAACTATACAAAGTATTTCCTGATCATCTAAATCTTCTTAGTCCCTCCTGTTGCTACCTGTAGTAAGATCTCACTTACCCCTGCCCTATTTTCTTTGGATGTGTAAACATCCTGATCTGAGTAGCCTAGATCTGCTTTGCTTACATGATGATACATTTTGCTTGGTCATTACTTAGTGTAGAAACTATTAACATAAAGGACTACTGCACTACTGGCCTATTTTAGTCAGACGGTCATGGCAACAAACATGACAATCATTGATCCTCAACTTATACTACTTTCTTAAAGAAAATATTCAAGTCATAGCCTTCTAAAGAAATCAGCCTTGCATCCCCTATAGCACAACTGATCTATGCTGGGTTAGTTTCTTTATTCAAGGAATTTGGAAGGAGATTACAGAAATGATGGTGGGCACTTAAACTAAACTGACAGAGCATCGGGCGTAAAGGGCTGAATGATCACTGAGGCAAGGCAAGCTAACAATGAGAAAGAAAAGTCAGGAGCAAAAAGAATGGCAAGTATGCAGAGAAAAATAAGAGAAAGAAGACAAACAATAGGGGCCCTAGAAGAAATAGATGGAATAATTATGGTATCCCCTTGATAAGTGATGTTATGTCCTTTTAATAAACCCTGCTTTTACTATAGTTATTCTACGTGTTTGTCTCCACAGTTAAACGAGAATTTGAACAAGAGTATCAATCTTAACAGTTATCAGTGTATAAGCACTTAATAAGAACCAGGCCTAAAAGAGGATCCATGTTTTGGCAGAAATACCATACTACTAACTCTATCAAAGAAGTTCCCTCTCTCTTTGTTATAGCACTGCTGTCAAAAAACTCAGATGCCTACACAAAACAGGCAGGTGAGAGAAGAGGACTAGCATGTTAAGGTTTTTTCTTTAGCTTCTGACATCCTTTATTTTCATATTAAACGGATAGGCAGTTTCCTCCTTTACATACATACACGATATCTGCTTTCTCCCACTTTCTCTTGGTCATTTGCTTCTGCTTTCCATATAGATAAGGGTACAAGAAAAAAATGACAACTAGAGGTGATGCAAATACCAAGGGACATTCAGCCTTGCTGAGGTGTAATACAGGGTAGGGGGGACAGTGACAAAGTAGGAAGTAATTTCCTACCTAAAAAGAACAATCATTACCCAGTGTTAGGCAACTGTCACCACATAGGGTTTAATTTTAAAGTTAAAACAAAAATCTAAATTTTTCTGTAAAGTCTCCTGATTTTAAAATTTTGCCATAAATTTTTCTACTAAAACAATGTGGGTCAGTTCACTGGCTGCCAACTTGCAATTCTACTGTAGACTCTAGCGTTCTTTTATAACTTCTTTGGTTTCCAGCTTCCTTAGATGTGTTTATTTAACATATATAATATGCAACGCCTATAATTATATATTAGGCAAATGGCCACCAAGATTGAACCTCATTTACTTTTCTATTCACAGGTTATTTTAAATTCAACATGTTATTCTTCAGAGACAACTCAAAACCAATATTATTAACATATTATATTCCAAATCATACTACCTACTCTGAAAGGGCAGCAATATGAACTCTTTGAATTTAACTGTCTAGGGTGGATTGAAAAACTGTTTAAGATGCTGTGTCAATTATATAAATATCACCCGGACCTCTGGATCTTTGTTTCTGCTGTTCCTTCAGCCTAAAGGGCTGTCACCTCTTCCTCTAGGAAGCTGCCTTATATATTATTTCTTCATCATCTCAAACTTACCCCTTCTGAGCTTACTGTATACACTAATGAAATCATGCCTTTATTGTTTATGTCCCCAAGGAGACTATAAATACCTTTTGTATTGTATGTCCAAGAGCTAAGAATGATTAAATGTGCCATGTGGCAAACACTGAGAATCTTTTTCATTCAGCTGGCCACTACTTCCCAAGCAGGTTATCATGTGCCTGGCACCTGATAGATGCTAATTTATTCACTCATTCTTCAACAATATAAGTGGTAAAAAAGACAGTCTCTGCATTCTCAATAAATCTGTTGAGAGAATTACACAAATTAAAGATTTGTTAAACAAACTAACATATGTATAAAAATGTATACATGCACTTCAGTTCATTAACATAGTTGTGTGCCTTTAGGAGACTCAATTTCTCTGAGTCTTGTTGTTTTTGTCCAACTAAATGCAGATGATGCCAACTTTACTCGGTTATGTGAGAAGTGAATGAGAAATTCTAGGAAGTGCTAAGAAAATGGCATATGCCACAGCTCATAAAAATACTGCCAACACCTCTTAAGGAAACCAAAACTCCAAAGGTAGTTCCAACTGTCAAAGTTTAAAATCCTGGATATTTGTGTGAAAGAGGAAACAGTTCAATAAATGTACTTAATTTACAGAGTCTACAGTAACCCAAATAGTTGTTCAGTTTTACGAAACTACAGTTTCTACCAAGCTCAGAGAAAAAAACAACGTCGTAAACTCACACTTTGTAAGACAAATAGTTCAAGGTTTGCCACGTGTTTTTGGAATGGCAAAACAAAAATCTGCATGTAGATGAAAGTCAGAAGGGGATAAATTTTCGCTTGGTGTTTGAAAAAAGTCCAAAATTTCCAAATACTTAGTATTTCCAAATACTTTCTACAGCTTCACATGCAGAATGCCATGCCTCAAAGAAGTTCACATCCTTATACCCACAACTTATGACTATGCTGTTACATGGCAAGAAGGAATTAAGGTTAAAGATTATATTAAGGTTTCTAATCAAATGTCAAAATAAAACATCAAAACTCATCCTACATTATTTGTAAAATGCAGATTTCTGAGCCCCACACCAGACCAGACCAAATCTTTAGGAGCTATAAAAAAGTTTAATTTCAACAAACTGGGAGAAGGGAAGAGAGGGAATTCTATACACACTGTTAAAGCACCACTGCTCCAAGGAGTATGTTATGAAACATTACACCAAAAAAAAACTGAAATAAATTGCTCCCATTACTGAATCTTTAGGAACCCCAATGCACTCATCTTACTATATGACTGTGGGAATTTTCATTTTCTGAGCCTCAGTAGCTCAGAATATGAAGGCAATGTCTACTAGAACTATTTAAATTAAAATTCATTCTGTAGAGTGCCAGGAACGATGATTGGCAGGTAATACGTCATAATAAAAAATGTCAGTCCTATTGTCCATCCTCACCTCCCTCCAACCCCAAATAAGAAAAAATAATACCCGGCCTGCATTTTTACATACTGTTAAATACTGCAATAATTGTGTTAACTGTATCAGTATCATCACCAAACGACAATTTCCTATAATAAACGTTTTGGTATGATTTAGCTCCTAAATGTTCACTCTTTCAAGCAAGTATTTGCTTAAAACATTCTCCTGGATCTCTGTGATGCCGTAGGAACTTGCAAATTTAAGTCTTTCACGAGTCAAGGCGTGGGAGTAAAACTCGACTGGCCTTGATGAAAATACTTTCCAACAGAGAGAGGCCTAGAGAATAAGTAAGAACTCCCAACAGTGGCTTTTCAATTACGGCAATCTTGGGCAGCTTTTTCTCGTCCCAGACGTTTAACAACTTAACTAAAGAAACCTGAGTCTAGATTGGAAAGGGGGCTGTGGGAGGAGCATTTAGGAACCCTCTCCGTGCCTCACGACCCAAATTCCAAGGCAAGGTCACAAAGCCACACAAACCAGGGGGCCCGGGAGAGAGTAGAGTACCCCTGGCCGCCAAGAAAGCTCTTCATGGCCTGCATTAGGCAAAGTCAGCGGACCCCACCCCGAGAAAGAGGGAAAGGAATAGGCAGCCCGTGCACCTCCACACCCAGACGCAGGCCCTCAAGACTGCCCCGACCCGGACCCATCACTCAACTACACAGAGAAGCTGAGCGAGCCCCGGCCACTCACCCCGAAGCCACTGTGCGCTGTGAAACCATCTCCAACTAGATCCTCGGCTTACAGACCACCCAACAGCCCCGTTCACCAGCCCTGACACGCTTCGGCGGCCAGGGAAGCCCACGAGGTAACGCAGCAGCCGCGGGTCACAGCCTAGCTTCCAGGAGGCCGCCATCTTCAAGGCTTTCTCATGGGCTTGTACGCAGCACAGCCTCCTGTCCAGCATCACGGCCTCGCCTCCCGCATCGTTGGCCACGCCCCGAGACGCTAGCGGTGCCTAGGGTCTAACTTGTAGCCCCCCTAGCCCCGCCTCCAACTACATTGGCCACGCCTCCCGAGCGGTCTGCGGCGCCGCTGGATATCTCAGCCCCGGCTCCAGCCCCGTTCGCCCCGCCCCCGGGCTGCCCTCAGCGCCGCCTGATTGCATTTGCGGCCTAGCTGCCTGATCCCAGGCTAAGCGCCGCGCGTAAAGCTGTGCGGAGACTGGAGGCCGCGCGGCTCCCTCCTCTGGGCCATGTCTGTCTGTGACGCTCCGGAGGGAGACGGTTGTTCTCGGAGAAGCGACGCGCAGGTAGGGGCGGGACCGCCGGTGCCCGGTATTCCGACGAGGGGAGGCCCAGTCGGGACGCGGCGGCTGGAGCTGAGCACGGGGTCGCGGGCCGGGCGTCTGGCGGGGCGGGGCTTCGGGTCCGGCCGGTAGCTTCCCGCGTGCACCGCGGCCTTCGGGTTCGGAAGCGAGGCTGCGGCCTCGGGAGATCCGTGGTCCCGAGCGGGGCGCTCCGACGGCGGGAGCTGGGTGCCAAACATTGGAAAGGAGCAAATAACGGAAGAGAGGAGAGCGTCGAGGTGGCCTCTGCGAGTATTTATCAGGAAGGCAGCTAGAAAAGGAGTCTTGAAGGACCGAAGTGGAGGTGGGGCGAAGACTGCGCCCCCCGAGCTGCTTTTCTGCACTCTGGCCAGCAGTTCGGCGTTTGGGGAGACGCTGGACAAACCGGAGCTGTGCCTCGGCAGCCAGCGTGTTGCCCTGAGCGATGGCTCCTTGCCTACCTCCGTTTACATGGATTGTGGGATGATTATGGGAACGAGTCTTCCTTAAGGCGAAGTCGAAGGCAAAGCCACCCTCACGCTGCCTGTATTTTTCGGCCATTTACACAAACCAGCAGTTTTATGGAGCTCCTTCTACGCGTTCAGATAGCGGTCTGGAGAACTAGACGAATACGCAGTTTCAGCACAATGTGATAAACCTCACCTAAGAAGCAGGGAAACCCCCTGAAATTAGCTTCCTTCTTCCCCCCGTCTTATTCCTCCTATGTATATCTTTCTCAGGGTTGAAAGTCCTAATTAAAAAGTAATAGTTTGCGGGAGATTTTATTGCTAAACATTTGTCAACCACTGATTTGTGTGAATAAATGACTTCCCCAAATTAGCAAAGACGACTCTAAAAATAGAATGCTGGATAGGCAAGATTGGATGGGAGAGAGATGATCTTGGAGATAGGACTGATAATTGGAGATCGTTGCTACGCAGGTGTGTATGGAGAAGGGATCATACCCTCAATCAGTAAATCTTAGTGTAATGTCATTAAAATGAGCATCAAAGAGAGCCTTAATCAAGGGACCTGAGAATAAACAAGGATTCTCAAACTAGATATGACCCATAGACAGCTTGGTGGACAGGCATGTTTTGTTTGCTGCACTCAATGTTCATGAAAACTTTAAGCCTATATACATATATGGGCTTAAAGACAAGGATGGTATGACAATATGACATAGTATGACATGACATATATATTGGGGTTAAAGTTTTCATGGGCTTAAATATATATATATGTACACACACATACATACATACATATATATTTGACACAGAGTTTCGCTCTTGTCGCCCAGGTTGGAGTGCAATGGTGAGATCTTGGCTCACTGCAACCTTCACCTCCTGGGTTCAAGCGATTCTCCTGCCTCAGCCTCCTGAGTAGCTGGGATTATGGGTGCGTGCCACCACACCAAGTTAACTTTTGTATTTTTTTTTTTTTTTTTTTTTTTGAGACAGAGTTTCGCTCTTGTTACCCAGGCTGGAGTGCAATGGCGCATCTCGGCTCACCGCAACCTCCGCCTCCTGGGTTCAGGCAATTCTCCTGCCTCAGCCTCCCGAGTAGCTGGGATTACAGGCACGTGCCACCATGCCCAGCTAATTTTTTGTATTTTTAGTAGAGACGGGGTTTCACTATGTTGACCGGGATGGTCTCGATCTCTTGACCTCGTGATCCACCCGCCTTGGCCTCCCAAAGTGCTGGGATTACAGGCTTGAGCCACCGCGCCCGGCCTAACTTTTGTATTTTTAGTGGAGACGGGGTTTCACCTTGTTGGCCAGACTGGTCTCTAATTCGTTATCTCAGGTGATCCACCGGCTTCAGCCTCCCAAAGTTCTGGGATTACAGGTGTAAGCCACCATGGCCATTTCAAAATCCAGAACCATTTCAGCCTCTTTTAAAACCTCAGAACATATGGTGGCATAGGGCCCTTATTTCTTTCTTTTTTCTTTTTTTTTTTTTTTTTGATGGAGTTTTGCCCTTTTTGCCCAGCCTGGAGTGCAATGGCATGATCGTGGCTCACTGCAACCTCTGCCTCCCAGGTTCAACGAATTCTCCTGCCTCAGCTTCCCAAATAGCTGGGATTACAGGCGCCTGCCACCAAGCCCAGGTAAATTTTTTTGTATTTTTAGTAGAGGTGGGGTTTCACCGTTTTGGTGTTTGTGGAGACGTTTGACAAACTGGAGCTGTGCCTCGGCAGCCAGCGTTTTGCTCTGAGTGGTTGCTCCTTGACTACCTCCGTTTAGATGGATTGTGGGATGATTATAGGAATGAGTCTTCCTTAAGCCGAATTGAAGGGAAAGCCACCCTCACACTGCATGTATTTTTCAGCCATTTGTTGGCCAAAACAAGACCATGTGTTGGCCAGGCTGGTCTTGAACTCCTTACTTCAGGTGATCCACCTGCCTCGGCCTCCCAAAGTGCTGGGATTACAGGCCTGAGCCACTGCGCCTGGCCTGAGCCCTTATGTCTTCATGGGATCTAGATTGCACTTACTAGTGAACGCTACCTTCACCTTTACTAAGGGTATGTGCTGGCCAGGTTACCACAGCTTCCACTACTTACACTAGATTTGCATATCCAGTTAAATACATGAGCCCCCCTAGATATTTGTATTTGTCTGGTTTTGTACAAATACATAAAAACAGCAATAAGAAAAGTTTAAGAAATTATGAAATTTTGTAGTTTTAGGGAGTCGTGGACAATTGAAAGAGACAGTCTCTTTGGCCTTAAGGAAGGGGAGAGTTCAACTGTAAGGGATTGATTCAAAGAATATTTATTGAGTGCCTACTATGTGCCAGGCATTGTGGATTTAAGAGTGCAAGCTGCATCTTGTTCCTTCCCCCATAGAACATGCTGTATAGTGGGAGATAAAAATTAGTGAAGAGACAAGGATGGTATGACAATATGACAGTATGACATGACAGCAAGACATAGATGGGAAAGTGCAAGGTAGTTTAGGAGCATGCACTTGAATGGGTTAGAGAATATTTCAGGAAAAAGTGAAAGTATCTACTGAGGCCTAAAAAAATCAGGAAGACATAACCACATTTGATGAAAGTAAGGATGTTCCAAGCAGGGAAAGTAGCATGTACACAATCTCAGGGACAAGGACATGGTGTGTTACCATATTAAGTTTGGTGTTCTGGAACATAAAGTAGTGGCCAGGGACTTGAGAAGAGATGAGGCTAAAGAAAAAAGCTAAGACCAGACCTAAAGGGCCTGATAAGCAAATCTTAGATTTTTAAACTAAGGGCTCTGAGGTAATGAGCAAGATGACCAAAGAAAGCCTGGAGATTGCTGGCTAGAGTTAAAAAGACTAGAGGCATGGAGACAGACTAGGAAGCTGTAATAGTAATCCAAGTAAGAGATGCTGCTTGTCTGAGTGAGGGAATAAAATCAGGAGGTCTTGGTTATTGATTAGATGTGTGTAGTGAGAAAAGAAATCAAGAATGACTTTTAGCTTTCTGATCTAGTGATTGGGGCCTGGTGGTTTACCAGAAAGGGAATACAGGAGGAAGAAGCAGTTTATGATGGTCATATTGTGGACATGTTGAGTTTGAGATACATGCTCAAAATGTGGTACTATACACTGGGTGTATTAATCAGGGTTCTCTAGAGGGACAGAAGTAATGGAAAAAAAATATATATGTGTATATATATATATATAAAGAGAAGTTTATTAAGTATTAACTCACATGATCACAAGATCCCACAATAGGCCGTTTGCAGGCTGAGGAGCAAGGAGAGCCAGTCCAAGTTCCAAAACTGAAGACCTTGCAGTCCAGTGTTGGAGGCGCAAGCATCCAGTACAGGAGAAAGATGTAGGCTAAGACGCTAGTCCAGTCTCTCTTTTCACATTTTTCTGCCTGCTTGTATTCTAGCCACGCTGGCAGCTGATTAGATTGTGCCCATCTAGATTAAGGGTAGATCTGCCTTTCTCAGCCCACAGACTCAAATATTAATCTTCTTTGGCGGCACCTTCACAGACGCATCTAGGATCCATACTTTGTATCCTTCAATCAAATCAAGTTGACACTTAATATTAACCATCACACTGGGTATTGCTTTCAAGCTAGGAGAGAGAGCTGGATTGGAGAAAAAAATCTGAAAGACCTGCTCACCAAAACTTTCCCTCTCAAGACCTTTGTATTATTTATTTATTATTCTGTCTTTGATAGACACTCTTTTCTGAACCCCGTATTATATTATTTGCCTCCCTCTGTAGCCCTTTCAATAATTTTTTATTATCCTTTGCAGTAACTTTCCCAAGTGATTTGTGTTACATGGACTTGCATCTTGAATTCTAAAGATTCTTCAAGCATCAAGTGTGTTATTTTCAGGTCAGATTTGAAATAACAAAAATCTCTAAACTGATTTTACAGTTCTGAAATTAAAACCCTACTGACTGGCCCATGAACTGATTTTCTCTAACATCAGCAAAAGTCAAGGAGTATTTCCTTAAAAGAGAAAGCATTTACCCAGAAACCGTATATTAAAGTCCAGGCTGAAAAATGCAAACATTAGTAAGTTGTTGTTCCTACCCTTCAGAAACTTGGGCAGTTATAAATGCATATTTATAATTAATATATACCCGTAATGGGCAGTGGGGCGTTGGAGGAAAGGACGAAGTTCCTTTAGAGGATGACAAAGTATTTTGCAAGCACAGAGGGGAGAGGAAGGTCATTTCAAACAGTGACTCATGGAAGGCTATATGGAGAATACGGCATTGTAGATTGGCCAGATAGTACCAAAAAGAAGATAATAGGCCCAGCATTTACCCTATCTTAAGAGGTAACACTACACAACACTGATTGTTTTTTGCTCTGTGGGAGTATTTATGCCCATTGTCTAGTCTGCTATTTTAAACAAAACTGGAAACTCAGATTTTATATGGAATCTCTTGATTTTAAAGTATAGCCTCAAACTCTTTTCTAAGCATTGTGTAGACCAAATAACTTCCTGTGAGCCTGAAGCAGTCCACAAAATACAGTAACTTCTGATACAGGACTTTTTAATGTAGGGATATGATCTTAATGCAACCAATGTTTGTCGAGCAAAGT